CTGGCAACACAGGTGTTCCCATCTTCCTCACCACTCCAAGTACATCTTTCCTGGAGCTCTGCCTGTCCTTCCCAGGAGAAGGAATCTCTCCTCTCTGGATATAACCTCCAAGAGATAAGGAGGACAGCTGGTTAAATTATGTTGAATTCTGAAGGAGCCCAGTGGGGACCCTGAGAAGCAGTGATATGTTCACTGAATTCAGAATATTCAGAAGAATTTAAGTAGTGTCCACACTTAAGCCAAAGACTCATAGTAAAGTTTTATTTTATCCTAAAGATCATGGAAAGCTAGCGATGAATTTGAAATAAGGAAATAATATCATAACATTCACACATTTAAGAAAATCAGTCTGGTTGCAATATGGAGAATGGGCTAGAGTAACCTTGGAGATGCGGAAATCCAGTCAGAGCCGGAGCAGTCACCCAGAAGGTGACCATGGCCAGAAGTGGGATTACACCCATGGAAATAGAAGCAGAAGGATTCAAGGGCTATTGAGGAGACAAAGTCAACAGGACCTGGTGATTGACTGCATGAGTGAAGGAGAGAGAAAAGGTGAGGATAATCCAACCATAGGTCCAGAAAAAGTAGCTGACAACCAAGAAGTTCTATTCCATCTCACACAGCATTCCTGAGTGACAACTGACCAGTCTCTGAAAAGGATGAGGACTTAGTGTTCCCACGGCTTGAGGATTTCTGGTGGAGAGCTCTGACATACCCCATCCGCAAAGAATCAAGGCAGTCCTAGAGAAAGAAAATGTCATAAATTAAACACCACTTGTCTTGACAGCTTTAAAAATAATCCGTCACCTGCTCCTAACTTTGTTCTTGGTTACAAAGGCCATTGTTTGAGTGAACAAAGAGAGTAAGAAATTTGGAAAGAACTGTTTACCCAGAAGAACTGATAAGAGCCCAGGCTGGAGAACACTTGCATGTGAACGAGAAAGGGGGCGGGCAGCCCCAAACACAGATGTTCCATCTGCTGCAAACAACTCAGGGGCTCAAAAATATGAATGGGAAGGACGCGGATTCCAGCAGCTGCTCTTGGTATATGCATAATATTCTGAAGATGGCCTGGCTTCTCAGTAGAAACCATTTCCCATCTGATAAATCAAAAATTTAACTCCTGGCACAATAAAATGATGGTTATCAAGGATTTAGGGGTCATCAACTTCCTACATCAAACTCCTCGCCCCAGTGTACCCTCCTCCCAGCTGTTTCCTACACTGCCAAAAGTGACACTGGACTCCAACAGGCATTCACTACACGCAGGTTGAGGTCACTCCACTTTATGAAAAGCCCTTAGAAAAGGGAAGAGTTCAAGAATAGAATCTGAGCATACAAAAGCCTACAAGATTTTCTCCAGAATTGTTTTCTGGTTCCTACTGTTGGCACACTCTGCTTAACCCAGGATGACTGTCCTTGCATAGATGATTTTCCTATTGGAATCCCCTCCCTGAACTAATTCTGGGGAGTTTTCGTTTCCGTTAACTAGCTAGTTGTTTAGGTTGTGAGTGTTTTTCTCTATTTGACCTGACCCTCAACTTATGAGCACTAGATAGGATTCAGCCAACTCAGTAGTAGGGTTGTAGCTGACTCTAGCAACCAGGAGTGTCAGCCAGCCGGGCCAAGGACCAAACGGGAGGGGCTAGGAAAGGTAGAATGCTTAGCTCTCTAAAGGCAAATCTTAGAGACTTGGAGCCAAGACATGCCTTGCAAAGAGAAGATAGGCTCCTTGGCCATGAGAGAAGGACTGAAAGTTGGACCAGGAGGCAGACACAAAAAGAGCTGAAAACGGCCCAGAGATGCTTAAAGGAAGCTCTCCTTGATGAATGAAATTTCATTCTATTCTACAGGAGCTTAGCGGCCACTAGAATGTTAGCTAGTCTATGACAGACTGCACCATACAACGAAACATTGTTTTGAAGTAAATCACCCCCACTCCATAAAAATGACATTTTTATGGTCCTTCTTGCTAATTTTTCACCCGTTTAGATTATGCCTGACAGAGAGAGTTGACATTGTTAAACAGTGTTAAGTCCTAGCTCTCTCAGCTTGCACGGCCTCCAACTGCCGCTACGTAGCTTAATCCAAGTTAAATATTTGTAACACAAACATGGGGAGAGTGTGCCTTTTGTCTTCCAGTTGTCTAGAAACACAGAAATCAATTTGATTTTATCAAAAAACAAAAATGAAAAGCCCCTCCACCCTGGAGTTATTACACTGACTTAAACAATGTTTGGTATTTCATGATGGCCTGCATGATGTATTTACCAAATTCAGGGGGAAAAAACTGCAAAGGGCTAGAGGCCCATTGGCAAAAACTACCTATTTGTCAGGTTTTGGTGGCAACAGGGGAATAAATTACTCAGCCTCTGCCTGCCCATCAGTCACCTTCTGCCCTCGTGTGCAGATTAAATGTGTAGTCACTGAATAAAGAGAGGGAATTCTCCTATCATTGTTCTCCCTCATTTGGAATTTCTGATGCTATTTTGTATAAGACTTGACAAGCTCCTAAATCTGGAAAATAGGCACCAAAACCTCTTTTGGAGATCAAGTTCACTTGGCAGTGCGATCTAACAGAAGGAGTTTGCGATCTGCAGTCATTAGGTCTGCGATGAAGACCCCGATTGGCTCTTCCTAGCTAGCTAACCTCTGGCAAGTCCATTGGTGCTCCAGCTCCCCGAGCTGTAGAAGAAACTATAATGCCCACCTCACAAATACTGAGGATTATGGGGTCACGGCAAGTGACATGTGATGGACAAAGAGCTCTGCAGCTGTCAGCTATGGCCTTGCCTCCCCTTCTGGAGCTTGCTCAAGGCTCAGAAATCTAGCCAACATGAACAACGGATTAGGAGTGAGGATATTTCAGTCTCAAACTCACATCTGTCATAGCAATCAGTTTTCCCATCAGCGACATGGGTAAACTTCTTCTTTCCCTCACATATGCCTACTCATTTATCCCCATCACTAGTGCATGGAGCGTTATCCTGAGAATCAATAGGCAGCTTAACTCACCCAGCTACAGTGATTCCTCAACTCTGCTGCATATTGTAATCACCTGTGAAGCTTTTCAACCTCCCAATGTCCAGTGGTACCCAATATCAATTAAATTAGAACTTTGGGGGTAGTATCCAGGAGTCAGTATTTTTCAAAGACCCTGAGGTGATTCCACCATACAACAAAGTTTGAGAACCTCTACCAGACTCCCTTCTACAGTCACCTGAGGGTAGCTTTCAAATTCCTGGTTCTAACTTATGTCCAGGCACCGGCCTCGTGCCCAAGTGGTTAAGTTTTAACTCTCCGCTTTGGCTGCTCGGGGTTCGCCAGTTCAGATCCTGGGCCTGGACCTATGCACCGCTCATCAAGCTATGCTGTGGCAGCATCCCACATAGAAGAACTAGAATGACCTACAACTAGGATATACAACTATGTACTGGGGCTTTGCAGAGAAAAAAGAAAAAAAGAGGAAGATTGGCAACAGATGTTAGCTCAAGGCCAATCTTCCTCACAAAAAAAATAAAGTATGTCCAACTTGAAACGGAAATCAAAGCCTAGGACACCAAATCTTGAGCCTCTACACCTCCCTCCAGTGAACCTGGCAGCCACCGCCCCACCTCTTACCTTCAACTGGGAAGAACGAACCATGAGTAAGCAGAGGGCACGTGGGAATAGGGAGGCGAGCCTAGGGTCAGGGAGAGCACTGAACACCCCTTCTCAAACTGGGTGATCAGCAGGGTGACAGAAAAAGAAATTTCAAGATGAAATAAAATTGGGCAATTCTAGGTTCACCAAAGTTAAGCAGCTTTCCTCACTGTAGGGCTTCTCAGACTCTTTAAGTTGGAATATGATTATGAATCTGCCAGAGACGATTGTAGCAGCATTTCCGCCACAGAAACCTTCATTTTCTCAGAGCATTTCAAGGATTAGTACTTCAAGGAATATGCTTTAAGAAACCTAGGGCAGTGTTGGGGGATGGGAGTGGGGGCACGAGGTGGAGTTTTTTGTCCCCTGGGGAGACTTTTGGCGATGTCTGGAGACATACTTGGTTGTCACAGCTGGGGGTTGGGTGGCTGTTACTGGCATCTAGTGGGCAAAGGCCAGACATCCCACAACACACAGGACAGCCCCCACAACAAAGAGCTATCCAGCCCCAAATATCAACAGCAGCGCAGTGGAAAAGCCCTGGCCTAGAGGGACCTCTTCTCCCACAAGCTATCCCCATGCCACAGCCTCAGAAACTGAAGATGAGGAGAGAGCAAGAAGGATAGGAGAAAGAGGAGAGAAGGAGGAGAAAAAGGAAGAAAAAAGGGAGGAAATGAGAGAGAAAAACAGACAATAATGAAGGAAAGGACTGGGGGAAAAGAGAGAGAAGAAAAAGAAGCCAGATTCATAATTGCCCAAACTTGAGATATCTTTCCGTAGGTGAACTGATAAACTGGTACATCCAGACAATGGAATATTATTTGGCGCTAAAAAGAAATGAGCTATCAAGCCATGAAAAGACATAGAGGACCCTTAAATGCAAATTGCTAAATGAAAAAAGCCAATCTGAAAAGGCTATAGACTGTATGACTCCAACTCTGATATGTGGAAAAGGCAAAACTATGGAGACAGTAAAAAGATCAGAGACTGCTGGGGGTTAGGAGCGAGGGAAGAATAGGTGAAGCATAGAGAACTTTCAGGGCAGTGAAAATACTCTGATGCTATAACGGCGGATGCATGTCATTATACGTTTGTCCAAACCCGCAGAATGTACACCGCCAAGAGTGAACCCTAATGTAACCTATGGCCTTTGGGTGATTATAATGTGTCAGCGTAGCTTCATCAGTTGTAGCAAATTTACCACTCTGGTGGGGATGTTGATCACGCGGGAGGCTACACGTGTGTTCGGGGGCAGGGGGTATATGAGAAATCTCTGTCCCTTCTGCTCAATTTTGCTGTGAATCTAAAACTGCTCTAAAAAATAGTAAGGAAAGAAAAAGAAGACGGAGAGCAGCACGTTGGTGTTAACTGGCCCCAGCCTCCTCACGCCTTTATTACTACTCTGAGTTTAGGAAGGCTCGTAACTCTGCTCTTCAACAGGCACGAACTGGTGGGGGAAGGCGAGAAGACAGAAGAGAGGCAGGAGGTTTTCTTCGCCGGAGTCTTCTGTGCCGGAAGCTCGGTGCCTCCGCGGCGCCTGGGCGGCCTCAGATCCTGCTGGGCTTCTTGGGGTCCTTGCTCTTAGCCGGCATGAAGGCATAGAGCTCCTCAATGAGCATCTCCATGCGGGCGGTGACCTCGGTCACCGTGTCGATGACCAGCTTCTGCTGCAGCTTCAGCTTGTTGTTCTCCCACAGGGCCTTGTTCTCTTCCTGGAAGAGCCGGTGCTCCTCGCGCAGCACGTGCAGCGCCCTGTTCTCCTCCTGCAGGAGCCGGTTCTCCTCGCGCAGTACCTGCAGGTTCTGGTTCTCCTCCCGCAGCGCCTGCAGCGCCTGGTTCATCTCCCTCAGCAGCTCCAAGCACTGGCTCCCGTCCGGCAGGCCGGGGCCCGCCTTGCCCTCCTCCTCCCCGCAGGACCCCGACAGGTTGCTGACCATCTCGCGCAGGGCGCGGAGCGTCTTGGAGTCTTCCTGCGGGGTGGCGGACCCCTTGGGCTCCTCGAAGGGGGAGGCGAGGCCCGGGCCCTGCTCCGGCAGCAGCCCGGGGCCGTGCGGCTCCTCGTGGGGCGAGGGCGCCCGCTTGTTCTCCTCCATGGGCGCCGCCTTCTCCTCGGCCTGGCCCCAGAAGGCCTTCCTCTGCTCCAGCAGCTGCTGCAGGGCGCGGTTCTCCTCGCGGAGCAGCTGGAGGGTGCTGGTCTCCTTGCCGCGGTGTGCTTGCAGGGCCGGGTCCTTCTTCACCACCTCCAGGGCCACGCTGTCCTTGTGCAGCAGCAGCGAGGAGGCCCTGCTCTCCTCCCGGCCCAGCGTGGCCTTGTGCTCCTCCCAGAATATCTGCAGGATCTTGTTCTCCTTGCGGAGGGTCTTGTTCTCCTCGCGCAGGCCCTTGTTCTCCTCCCGCAGGGCCTTGTTCTCCTCCTGCAGCAGGTACTCCTTGGCCAGCCTCTTGTGGTGCAGCTTGTGGTGGAACGAGGAGGAGGGAGAGAAGTGCGGCGACTGCAGGCGGCAGTTCTCGTTCACCCACCGCCCGTCCTGGAAGACGAACATCTCATCGCTGAGCTGCACGCGGGGAGGGTTGTAATCCAGCTCGAGGTCCGCCTGGGAGGTGGGGCGCTCCATAGGGTCCAAGGGCACGGAGGAGAAGCGATTCAGCGGGTAGGAGTGCTGGCTGACCACCCGGCGGCTCAGCCTGGGCAGGGCGGCCTGCCTGGCGCAGCGCGGGGTGGAGTACAAGTTGTGGAGCCTCAGGAAAGGCTCGGCTGTGCCCCTCTGCGGGAGAGAACAGGGAAGCCCAGAGTTAGTAAAGGAGCGGACACCCCGAAGGCTGGCTGACCCGATACGAGGCCGGGATACCCCACAATAAACCCAGTCTGAAAGTCTGGCCTGGCCACCGTGGGCACTTTGGCACTTGGCCTCTTGGGGTCCTCACAAGGAAATACAGTTGATCCTCAACATTCGCGGCAGTTCTGTCCTGTAAAGTCCCCGCAAACACTGAATTAGCGAATACTGTACCATTTCTCCTAGGAGAAATACAGGGTTAAGTTCCTGCAAGCATCTGATCACATTTTCATCAACGAATCAGTACACAATCTTGTTTTGTGTGTGTTTCTGTTGAAAGATACCTTATTTACTACATATTGTTGATTTGTTTACATTGAACTTTTGGCCCACAGCACTATAATTCATGCCTGAACAAAGCTTAGCTAACATATTTTCTCCAGAAGGCACGTCACTGCCTTCTTGTGGTTAGGAAACTAGAGAGCACTTCAGCACTGTGCTTGGGGGCCATTTTAATCAGCGAAATCACCAACAAAAGCAGAAAGATCTGAAAAACATGGCACCAAACTGTGAAAAAGACACTATTTTACAGTACGAGAGCTGAAACGAGAAGCGTCCTTAGCTGGGAATGTGTGTGTCAGGTGACTCAAATTTTTCGTCCCTCTGTGCATGTCCATGAATGACCACCAAAGTGCCACGAGTATTGATTTGGGGGTTACAGACAAATTTTAGTAAGCAAACACACAAATGTGCAATCTGCGAATGATGAGAACCAGCTATACATCGTGGGGGTTAAAGGCATTGATTTTGGAGTCAAGTAAATTTTTGAGTCGGAGCCCCACTATTTTATCAGTTATAACAGGGGCAAGTAATCTGAGTTTCAGTTTCCACATTTCCAAATGCGGATAATTGCCTCTACTGCTTTCCTCATAGAGATATTTTTAGCGTTAAAAGAGGTAATGTGCTAAGCACTAAGCGTGGGCTCTGGCACACTTCTGTCACCCTAGAGGAGGAACAAACACTGTTCTCAAGCTACCCCAGCTGCAGATATGTACCCACAATTGGTGTGAGCAGAGGGGGAACATAATCACCCCAACAGCCACCCAAATTACTAAGTCCAGAATGGAGGTGCTGTTGGTCAGCCCAGCCGTCTCCTTCCCCCTATTCAGGGTCATCCTCCACTCTTAGCCACGCCTGAGTCTGTCCGGCCAGCAGCCCCCTTAACATCCATCGACACAGGGCTAGGCTCAAAGCAGAGTCCAGGCGATAATTTTGGAATGGAAGGGCACCATCACAGACATATCACGAGAGTTCAACATGTGGTAACAAACATTGCAAAGGACATTAAGGAATTCATAAAGAGGAATTCATAATGGTGGCCATGCTCCTCAAGACCACCATATAAAAAGGGAATCAGAGCCACAGAGCTTAAACCCAACAAGCCAGCAGCTCTTACACTTCCCAGTACAGAAGAATCACCTGAGTGAGTTTTCTTTTTGTTTTTTTTTTTTGAGGAAGATTAGCCCTGAGCTAACATCTGCTGCCAATCCTCCTCTTTTTGCTGAGGAAGGCTGGCCCTGAGCCAACATCCGTGCCCATCTTCCTCCACTTTATATGTGGGACGCCTACCAAAGCATGGCCTGCCAAGTGATGCCATGTTTGCACCCAGGATCCGAACTGACGAACACTGGGCTGCCAAAGCAGAACGTGAGCACTTAACCACTGCACCACCAGGCCGACGCCCCCCCCCCCCGCACCCCCCCCCAACCCAGTGAGCTGTAAATGCAGATTTCAGAGGCTTCTACTTGCGAGACTGATTCACTCAGTCTGGGGTATGGTCCAGGAATCTGCATTTCTAACCGGCTCCCTCGGGCGGTCAGGACTGCTCTAAGCTAGGTGGAAAGTATAGTTTGCCCAGGTGAGGGTTACACCACGATTAAAAGCCAAGAAGTCAAGACTGGGGGTCACGAGCATTCTTGTCCTGGTTCTATTGCTGATGGGCAGTGTGAAACTGGAGAGCTCTCTCACCCGCTCTGAGACCCAGATTTTTCCCAAGTAAAAAAAAGGGAGTCAGGGGGCTGGCCCCATGGCAGAGTGGTTAAAGTTCCATGCACTCTGCTTTGGCAGCCCAAGTTTGCAGGTTCATATCCGGGGTGTGGACCTACTCCACTCATCAGCCATGCTGTGGAGGCATCCCACGTACAAAATAGAGGAAGATTGGCACAGATGTTAGCTCAGGGCTAATCTTCCTCACCAAAAAAAAAGACGGACTCAGACTCCACGATCTTAAGGGCTCCTTCCAACATCAAAAGTCAGTGAAATGTACCTGTAAAAAGAAAATAACCCGTGCCCTGCTTAGTTCACAACACTATTGTGAGGATTGAATGAGATAATGAATGCAAAAGTGTTTTTAAAACTGCCAATTGCCATAGAAATGCAAGGTATTGTTATCAAGAAAAGTAGGTTCACTAATGGAGGAATTCGGAGATGTATTCAGAAAGTGGTGAACAGGTGGACTACATCCTGAAGAAGAGGCAACAATTGCAGCAATGAATTTAAATAAAAATACGATCATGATAGCTACTTCTAAATGCAGCAAGAGCATTTCATCCAAGTACATTGCAATGCTCTCCAAATATCGATTCCTCATTTTTAAGGTTACTTTCACAATTTTACAGATAGAGAAGACAGAAAACAAGTCAGGTTGTCTGCATTATATATATGCGTGTATAGAGAGAAGTAATTTGCACGGTGTATAAAGTGGGTTAGAATCTTTAAGACCTAAAGAGTTAGATAAATAGAAGGCACAGTGCTATGCCATTAACTTTGCAATAAGCGCATGTCATTAACTTTGTAAAGTTGTGCTTAATCTTCTGGATAGCCAGGGTGTGAGGGCATTCTGCAATCAGAACCTTATTTACTTTAAATAAATCCAGCCTCCATGGTTTTCATATTTCTCAATTGGGAAAGCACATGGCTCTTGTGGCTGAACCTGTGATCAGAATGAACCTCACTGTGGATAGCCTAGATGGTTTCCTTGTAAATTGAAGGTCCCTTGATTCCGATTTCTGGGAAGATTAGTCAAGATCACTAAAGAGTGAATCTTGAGAGATCCTCTCCATCCTCCCACTAGAACCTACTTAGGGCTCCATCTCAACAGGATCTCACTCTAGACGGTATTGCTATGGAAAATGTGGTTTTAGTCGATGGTGTGTATCCCCATCTTGAGACGGAAAGGGAAGTAGGGAACAAATATTGAGCCCCAGCTTTGTGAGAGGCCCTGAGTGAGCTACCTACCAAATTCATTGAATCCTCACAACACTGACATAATAAGATGTTATTATTCCCATTTTACAGATGGAGAAACCGAAAGTCAGAGAAGTTAAATAACCAGCACAAGTTCATTCACTAAGTTGCAAATCCGGTTCTGGCTCCCTGAACCTTATACGTGTGAAGCACATATGTGGGAAATCGCCATGGATTTATCAAAGGACTTTCAGTGCTTTGGGGTCAAGATAGTTTTTCGTTAACTTTTTATTATGGAAAAATTTCAAAATATACAAAAAGAGGGAGAATAGTCTGATAAATTTGCACGTACCCATCACCCAGCTTCGGCAGTTATCAAATCAAGGCCGCACTTGTTTCATTTATACCACCACCCAATTCCACAGCTACTTCCTTGTCAGTGGGTTATTTTAAAGCTAAATTTAGACACTGTGTCACTTTATCCATAAATACATCAATGTGTACCTTTTTAACAAAACCGCAATACCGTTATCATCCCTTTAAAATTTAACAATGATCCCTTAACATCAGCAAATACTGAGTCAGTGTTCAAATTTCCCCACTTGTCTCATTTCTTTTTTATGATTGTTTGGTTTCTCATTCCAACTGAATGTCCAAATAGGAATCACTAATGCTTTATCCCTGTTCAGAGTATCCATGATGGCCTTTAATTCATCCTAGTCAGCTGCCTTTATTCTATATCCACATTCCGAACTGAGTACCCAAGGAGTTTTCGACTATCTCCCCAACAGAAATGCACTAAATAAAACCTTAACATGTGAGTGGCAGATCCCTAACTATGGACAATCTGGGTATTTGGACCCTTGCCCTTATGCATGCCATAAGGTGACCTTGCTCACATCCTCTCCCCCACTGACCTTGGTTTCCACTTCTGTATAATGATGGGTTAGTGATGTTATTTCTAACCACCCTCTTGGTCTAACTTACTCTGGTCCAATGGATATGTGTTTGTAAATGGGTACCACTATGGCCCCAGCATCCGTCTTTTACCCACCTACTTGGCATCTTGTCCCCTCCCTTAAATGGCCAACACTTCCCAAGAAGACCCTGTGCCTTCTCTGTTCCATTCCCACAGCGCCTAATCCAGAAAATGCTGATGGATTAATGGGTCCCCTTTACCTCCTTACCCAGGAAACCAAATCCTCCTCTTATAAATTAGTCCTACCATCTTTCCTCTTATCCCCAGACAGGGCAGAGAAGGTGGTCAAGTCCAGCATTACTTCACAGCCTAATTTCTTAGACAGAACACTTAAACATTTTTAAAATTTTAATAGTCATATATTTATTTTAATTGTTTTAGAAAAAAGATACCTATTTTATTAAACCCACGATACTATAGATAGCATTAAGGTGAGGCTAAAATAAAGCAGCAACTTTTCTATTTCTGAAAGTGAGAAGATTTAAGGAGAAATGCTAAATATACCGGCATTTCAAATATGACAAGCATCATGATTGAACTTCGGGAAGACATTGAGCCAAGACAAACTCTTTCTTTCCCATATTTCCCCCAATTCAAATCAGGCTTAACTAGACTTAGTCCTCAAAAGAAAGTTCTTTCTTGGCCTTGTGAAAACTCCTTGCCCTAATCTATTCTCACTCTGAATGTTCTTGCCAATACCAATAATCTCTCCACATTTATGTCAATGAATCCACTGACATTAATTTGGCATCTCAGATCCTGCCCT